TTTTTTTTTTTTTTTTTTTTTTTCTGGCAAAAAGGTATGTGATTTTCATTCTCAGCATGTCACACTAAGCTGAGAGCAAGAAGCAACACAATTAAATCTGCTCAGGTAACAGTGGCATTAACAGCTCAGCTACTTGTGAAAATGCTTTGTAAAACAAGCCATCTTTAGCAAACCTTTGCTCTTGCAGTGAGAGTGAGCCACAAACTGCTTAGAAAACATATTTAGCAAAACTATGTTTGTTCATTTTCCACTAGATCCCCCTCCTGTCCCAAATCCCCATTGAAGTGCCAGGATGGAGGGGACAGCATCGTCCCAGGGCAGCTGCCTGCAGGTGATCACCTGCAGTTCAGTGGCTGTGGCTTGTGGCCAGCCCTGAGCAAGGACAGCCTGGCTGGAAGGGGCCACAAGCAGCCCTGACCCACAGCAGCATCCAGTGCTGCCCTGCCAGCACCCAAAGTGAGCAGTCTGGGGAAAGGCTGGCCAGGCTGCAGCCTGGGAGAGAACCTCCATGTCCTCCTGGAGACTGGGGTTCCTCCCACTTGAGCATCAGTTTATCACTCTCAGTGTCACAAAGAGATTTGCAGCTCCCTTCTATCCCAAGGCAATAGTCTAAACATCATCCTACGGGTGTCCTTGCAGAGCCTTGTAAAGGAGTTTCTCTGAGCCTCTGCTCCACCCCTGGTTCCCATCCTCTTCTCACCCAGAAGGAGTGGAAAGGCTGCCAGCTCCAGCTCCAGCAGTGTGTTATCCGTGTCTGGGCTCCATGGCAGTGGGCACGGCAGACACCGGGGGTGAGGAAATGAGTCTGTCCCGCTCCTGGAGACACGCTAGAATAACTTATTCATCAGCAAGTGAGTCACTGCCCTTCCCACAGGCTCTTCCTGCAAGCAGAGGTGACAGCGAAATAGGATCCAGTGCCTACGCGTCCCGGCCTACGGGGAGAGCTCTGTGCCATCCCTTCCTCCCTGTGCCATCCCCTCCTCCCTGTGCCATACTTTCCTCCCGGTACCATCCCCTCCTCCCGGTGCCATCCCCTCCTCCCGGTGCCATCCTCTCTTCCCGAGCCCGCTCGGCTGGAATAAAAGTCCTGAGAAGCGTGCGGGGGTGTGCGGGGGTGTGTCCGGGTGTGCGGGGGTGCGCAGGCACACGGGGTGAGGAGCCAGCAGTGTCTGCTCTGCCCAAAGGAGCTCTTTGCCTGTGTGCAAGTATCTGCTGCAGAGAAAAGGGCTGCTCTTTCCCTTCTGGTTTTGAAACATCATTCCTCTATCTGCCAGCCCTGTCCTAAAGCCATTCCCCACCCACTGAAATGACTGTGCTAGTGACCGTGGGACCACCACAGCACTAGGGAGTCATTAGTGAATCACTGCAATTTCTCAGGTTTCAGAGCCAGGGATTATCTTTATAAATGCACCCAACAATGCTATAGATGAGCAGGATTGGAAAGGTCTCTGTTCTTCAGGAGCTCCAGCATCCTGTTTTGCAGCATTCATCTTCAGGCTAATGAACAGTACAAACCTGCATCCAGAGATAAATTAAAGCCACCGCTAATAGTAGCAACAAAATAAGTGGCAAAAGACTAAATGTAAATAGCTTTGAAAGCTGATACGTTTCAGTGTGACATGATAATGCAAAAAGTGCTGTGCCAGTGCTGCTATTATTTATAATTCCCCAAATGTCTGAATTCCCTCCAGCCAGCATACATTAAGCACAATCCAGGGCATATGCCACAAATCATATTCAATGATGAAAAGTCAGGAGAAAAGCAAGAGCTCAATCTCTCTTGATTACAGCAGTCACAGATTTCTTTTTCATAGACTGCCAGTACTAATGAATGGAGAGGACACAGAAGGAAAACAAAAATACTCAATTCAACGTGCTCCATGTGCCAACAGATGTAGCTGCTCATAAACTTGATTAATTAAATGCAAACCATTGTCAAGAAATGTTGTTCAGGGGTTTTAAGCCCTCACTCTGACTAGCATCCAGCCATGGATATGGAAGTATGATCCTGGAAAGCTGCATGGGATTTAGCTCTGGGGTCCTGGGTACAACCACTGCTACACAGGAGGGCAGGAATTTATGAAGAGATCCATTTTTTGGTGGAGAATAGTAGGTCTCCAAAGCTCTGCTAGAGCATGATTTATTCAGTAAGATGTATCTTGCTGCTGTGCCAGTACAACTGGAATACAGCCTCAAAAGCAGAAGCTGGGCCTCATGTTGACTCACAAAAATCTCTGATTTTCAACATGCTGTTTTCTGTCTAGAGATCATTTCATTGCAGACAGTGCTTCCGAGAAGATCTAATATTTCTGAAGTTATTGAAATATGTTCAATGTTCAGGAAAAGTTTTGAGACCCAAAGGGAATTTCATAGCACAATCTTTGAAAAATCCAGAGGCAGAGGTCAGGGTTAAGCACCACTCAGCTGCAGTGATCTGTTACATGTTCCTAGCAATGCATTATTGCAAGAGGATCGGAATGTTTGCCGTGCAAAGGTTAGCTATGCTTTTAAAATTCACCAGGTCTCAGATCTCCCCAGCCTGAACAGCTCCATGGCAGTGCTGCCCTGACACTGTTAATGACAAAGTGGAAAGCTGTGTGGCAGGGTCTGGCACAGCCTCGCAGAGCTGCCTCACGAGCCTTTGGATGGCCATTTTTAGCCTTGCTCGCTGAAATCAAACCTGGCAGTGCACCTGGCAGGGCATTTTTTTCCTGGTTTTGAAGGATGGTTGGACTTTGCTCCAGTGGGTTCGGTGGCTGAAGCAGGGCTGCACCACCACTGCAGGTCAGGCCGAGCTCCTGTCATCACCTGTCTTTGCTTTTTCAGCTGCTACTGACACATTTTTGTATCCAACATTAACATTTCAGTTGTTCTCAGGAGAACAACCCATTATGTATTAGTCTCACTGATGCTGCTCTTCTGCTCTGGTTGGCAATGCTGATTATGTAAAGGATATTTAATGTTGTAAATAATTAAAATTTTATACAAGATTTTGGCTACTTTTCAGGAGTAAAAAAGAAATAAAAGAAAATGTATGCAGTGAATTTGAAAAAATGCTCAAGTCTTCTAGGAAGTGGGGAGACGGCTAATAATATATAATTAACATATCTTCCTTTCTTCTCTTGTTGGTGCAGACATGCCTTTAGATGAAAAGCAGGGGAAATTAAAAGTGTGTGGGACTGAATAATGTGGAATTTTATGTAAGTTCAACCTAGTCACCATCTACACATGTTATGGAGAGAGCAAGCCTGCTCCTGCTTAGGGATCTCATCCTGTACTACCTTTACACAGGCCTCCCCCATGGGGCCATGCTGGGGCTTTTCCTCCAAAAGGAAGGAAATTATGGCCTATCTTTTCCAATGAAAAAATTGGAATTCAAAGTGTCCAAAAGGAGTACATATTAAAGGGTAGTTCATTCATTTAGAGTCAAACATTTGATTTAAAGTTCACCTCATGTTTCCATCAGACATCCCGAGGTGGCACATCACAGCTCAGCAGCCCACAGTCAGGTAAAACACTTTTTAATGTCTGACACAGTCCATTGAGGTGGCTCCCGAGTCTTCTGACAGGAATCCAGTAAAATATGAAAATTAAAGGTTCACAGACAGCAGCAGCAGATATTCCTGCTGGAAGCATCACTCACCACAGACCCCAGACAAGGCTGTTTCTTTTGTAACCCCATGTCACTTGCACTATGAACAGCCGGCAAGGGGCAGCCCTTCACACAATCCAGAGACTTTCTGATGCTAAAAATGTACCCTGGGCTTAATGAGGCAGACAGGATACAGAAGTGCCAGGTGTGGCTGTACCAAACAGGTGCCTCTGTGCACAGCAGAGGCACTGCCCTGTGCACAGCCCAGTGCCCACATGGATGAGTGGGAATGTCCACTGTGGGACCACCAGCTTGCTAGGAGCAGAATGAGGCTTGCTTCTGATAATTGTAGGTGATGGGATGTACTCACAGATACCTCTGTTGTACTAACACTCATAATTATGCAAATCCAAATAGATAAATGGAGGTGTTTTTTGCTAAGAATTAGAGACTGTTACTTGCATTTTACTGTGATGCACAATCAGCTGGTTTTGTAGCTGCTGGCTTGTAGTCCCTGGTTATTCAGAGACTGCAAGAATTTGCTGTACTGCTTGTCAGAACCATTGATGGCTCCTGGTAGAAAAGCTCTGAACTAAAGGTCAGGGGCAGATGAGTTTCTCGCTCACCCCAAAGCTGACATTTGCAGCCTTGTAGCCCAGAGTAACAAAGGCACAACGAGCCACAGCCACTTTACAGTCCTCACACCCTCTTATTTCCTTTGGGGAAGCCTGGGCTGGGGCAGAGACAGAAGCCCTGCTGCTGTGTGATGAGCACAGCAGTGTTCAGCAGCAGCACGATGCAGTGTCGGTGCTGACCCCAGGGCTGTTCCCTTCCAGGGATGTGCTGCTGTGTGCCCCTGGAGCAGCCTTGGAGAGCAGCCTCACCCCAGGGCTCCCATAACTGCTCTGTGCTGATGAGGAGATGCCAAAACATCCCTCCTTTCAGCACAGAGGGGTCATCCTGAGCCCTAGGTGATTCCTCCAGAGACAACACCAGCTTCAGCTCCACCAGGGGCAGCTGCATCAGTTACAGCAATCACAGGAGGGTTTTCAGTCCTGAGCATACCCCAAACAGGGCAACAAAAAGCTGCCTCCTGACAATAGGCTTCTCTCAGCACTCAATAAATCCAAAATTTCATCTCCAAGTATTTATAAATTCTACTTTTCCAGTCATGTAAGTACCACTGATCCTGCACCCCCTCTGACTGGGCTAAAGGAACAAAGTGAAGCAAGACAAACATTTTAAAGCTCCACCACTTGAAAAAGACTTGAAGTTTCCAAGTCTTGATACCATACATATAGACCAAAATCACATTCTTCTGATCAAAGGACAGCATTCCATTGAGTTCCAACTCGCAGCCTCAAAGATATTAATTTTCTGAAATCAATGAAGACAATGAGACAAGAGATTTTACTTAAACTATATATTTTTACATAAAACAACTTTATGTTACAATAAAATCAGATAAAAATCACAAAGTTATATAATAAGTTCATAAAGAAAAAAATCAAGTTTTCATTTTATAGATATAAAACCCAGCATTTACTGCTACTAGGAGTCTAAATATTAACATTGACTGTCTATGGTCAATTTGAAAAAAAGAAAAAGAGGATAGTATTTCTTTACAGCAGACAAAATGAGGTAAGAGATGTTTTTACAATGACCCAACTGTAGCAAACACTTCAGTTTTCATTGAAACATATACTAAATATAATAAACCCAAATAAAAATATACATTTAGAGCACTGCAGTGTTTTCCCACAGTTGTATATCAACAAATTGTCATTCACTAAACTTTACTTGAAACAGTAAAAACAGGGTGTATGTTTATCTTTAGTACTAAAACCTCATAATAATCTAAATATTTTGGTATAGCAGACCACACTAGTACACTCTCAGAACTTTCAACTACAAGGGATATATTCATGTTAAAAACGATGTGCTTTGTTTGTCATTCATGATGAGATTTATAGAATATTATGTTCATGATCACTATTAGGCAATTAAATGAAAACATCTAAATGCTGCAAAATACTCTTTAACTGAGCATAGCTTCCTCATCACGTACCCAGGTTAATCAAAATCCTGCAAACTTAGAAGCTTAGTTCACTAATCTTATCAGTCTTTTTAGCTAGTATATGGCTAAAATAATTATTGCTGACCAGTGTTAAAAAAACAAACAAACCCAACCCAAACAAAAATACAATAGCAGACAGATTTTTCTCAAGTGCCTTCCTTGTATGTACCATTATTATTAGGTAACTAAATTAACTAACTTTCAAAATGTGCATATAAAATTTTTGGAAGTATAGGCACCTTCATCTGAAGATTGTATGTTCAGGCTACTTGCTTAAAAAAAAAAAAAAAAAATAGAAGAAAAAGGAAAAAAGAAAGAAGAAGAGCTAGCGTAAAACACAGTAGAAAATCAAAGGCTGGACATCAACAACCAGCTCTGCCCACAGCCTGCAGGAGAGCCCTCCTTTGGGAAGCACCTTCATCACATTTATCATTCAACTCCTGACTCTATTTCAGTTATCATTTTACTGCAGAGCATGGTATTTAAGACATGCAAACTTCATGCCAGTGAAGCCTAAAAGCCTAAAGCCCTGCCCAGCTCCCGGGGCATGGCACAGCATCCATCCCTGGCCAGGCTGCGTGGGCCAGCTGGGGCTCCCTGCCTCAGGTGCGCCTGGATCCACCTTGTGGCTGTGGATTGCTTTTCCTGACACACAGGTGCTCGCTGAACACCATCCATGGAAAGAAAAATGACCTTAGGGTAGCTTTCTGTCTTCCCATAGCTAAATTGCGCCCACAACCCTGCAGGCCCAGCCTGGGGCTCCTTGCTGCCCCTCAGGCCCCCGGGAGCAGGCCCTGCCCTTCTGCAAGGCCCCTGCTGCTGCTGAGGCCCTGTGCGCAGGAACAGCTTCTCCTACTTTTCACTGGAAGTGGCTGCCCATAGGCAGAGCCGTGGCTGCAGTGCTCTCCCAGCTCTGTGTGTGGACATTGTCCTTGCACAGACACCACCCCTGTGTGATATGCTGAGGAATTCTGATATTTACAGGCATGACAAGCCCAGAACTGACTGCCCGGACAAAGGTTGTGGGGCTGGTGGATCGGTGTGGCCATCGAAAGCTCATGGGCAGAGCGCATCTTTCACTGAAATCTCTGCTGAAAAAATAGGAAAAAAAAAAAAATTGCTGCTGCTGCTGCAGCCTCCCCTTACACCTCTTCTCTTCAGATTTAGCACTGGGCTAAGTTGAGCTGAGTGAGGCATTTCACCCTGACAGGGGTTTTATCTTTGTTAATCCACAGGCTCAGGAAGACAGCACTACATTCCTTACAAACCATCGATGCTTTGATGCCAAGATAACTCTTTGGAAGAGCCTAAGGAAGAGCTGAGAAACTCCCACCACAGCAAGTTGGTGACAGTAGCAGGGAATTTTCCTTCTGTCACTTATGACGCAGCCAAAGGTGGCAAAAAATTAATAAGGAAAAGAAATTAACACTTGGGAAAAAAAATATAACAGCATAGAGAAGAGAGCAGAAGTCTCTGGACAATTTGTGCTCTGCTGCCAGTGTTCCCTGTGCCCAACAAACCACGGAGCAATCACTGGACAGGGCAGCTGAGCCCGTGCCTGAGCACCACAAGTGCTTTGGCTGGTACCCTTGTAAGACAATGGCAGTGGCAGGGACAGCAGGCAGGACAGCAGAAACCCTTCCTGCTCACCTTAATTCAATGAGCATCTATAAAAAATTGTTCTCCCTAAATCACTCACATAAAAACCGAATCAGGTGTTTGTCCAGAAAAAAAAATATTGTCCAAATAATAATAATTTGTTTTCTGGCCACAGATCAACCCAGTGTAAAACTGTTTTAAGAAAGTACATCTTTTGAATGCTTGGATACAGAAAATGACAGGTGGTGTTGAACTTCTTAAAGAAAAGATAATTTTCTTCCAGTGAGCTCACTCAGTAAAGGAGACACCAATTAGATGTAGACAGAACACTGCAAAGTACTGCATTTGCTGAAAACGCACTTCTAGGCCAAACAGAACTACTTGTGAAGTTGAGTCAGAATTGGCAAAGAAAGATTCAGCCAAGTAATAAAAACCCAAAAAGTTTAACCTTCTTTATTCTGAGCTGTGCAAAAAATTTCCATTTTTTCATTTTGAAATAATTTATTCCTAATATGAGACTAAGGTATTTTTCCAAAATGTGACATATCTAATGGAATATTCTTTCCCCTTGAAAATAACTCCATCAATTTTTTATGTCACTTTTGCTTTTATGTAATACGAGGTATACCTGTTTATTTCTCATTTTGTCAAAACCCCTCAAACCCTAGCATTATTCAGCAGCTCTAACACCACCTCAAAGAAGCGTCTCACCCAGAGGTCAGCAAGTCACACTCTGTCCTGGTGTCACAGGAGGCCAGCACAGATTTTTCTTGCTGAAGCTGCCAGGCAGGCAGGATGGGAGTGTGGCAGGACCCGCGGGGGTGCAGCTGACAGAAACCCACCTGGGAAGTGCCAAGCACATGTCCTTTGTTAAGGAAAGACCATGTAAGTGAGGTAGGAGAGATCCTGCCACAAAAACCACTCAGAGGGAGAAACCTGTGTCCAGAAAGGGAACTCATGGTCACCCAAGGTGAGGTACAGCCCCCTGTAAATGTGCTCAGCTGGGTGGAAGTGGAGCACTGACCAAGGCATTGCTGACAGGCACGGGGAGACCAGGATTAGCCCAGCACCGTGTAACAAGTAAAACCAAGCTCTGCAGATCTTCTCTTGGACAGGGATGAGTATTTCTTGGCCCTGGCAGTATTTAGGGCCATCCCTAAGCAGGTGTCTGCCAGCTGAACTCAGGTGCCCACAGGGACAGGTGAAACTCCAGCTGTGCACAAAAGGGGGGTCAGTGCATCCACAGGATGGTGTGTGCATTTTGGTGGGGGAAGGCTGGCTGTCCTGGTGCTCCCATCAGGACAGAGGAGGCATTTCAGTGCTGGGATGAGTCTCAGTGGAGCAGTGTGAGGCTCTCAGCTTGGCACACGGGTTAGTGCTGGGCCACCAGACAGCACCAAGGAATAGGCAGTGTGTGACACCATCAGTCCCCTGGGGTGGACACAGGGACAGGGACAGGCCAGAGAGGGAGCTGCAGTTGGTGCCCAAACGCTCCTGAGAGCATGCACTGCCACTCTGTTTTTTCTCTTGAAGAGGAAAAATCCAGTACAAGAGATGGAAAGCTTAAAAGAGATGGCGTTTTGGGGAGTTTAAGTGATTATACATAGAAGCTCTCAACTTAATGCTGTTGGGAAGGAAAAAGAAAGAAGGCAATTAAAACAAGCCCTTGGAGGCTTGAAGGACAGAATTTCCCACAGCATAAAGCTGTGTACAGGCATCCCTAAGAACTCAACATCAGAGTAATAGCAGGTACAAACAGATATATACATCTGGGGCAAGACAGAAGAGACAGGGCAGGGATTTCTTTAAGGACACTCCATTGCTCCTCTGGTGGGCACTAAGCACCCAGAAACAACTGCCTGTGCCACAGCTATGCACTGGCTTAATGTGCCGCCATCAAACTCCATCTGTTTAATTGATGCAATCCCATGGAAACACTTCTCTTGCAATTTAAGAGTGGCTTAATACATTCCTAATGAACTGGATCTGAGATAGACCTAAAGTGGAAAACAAAGATCTGGATTAAACCAAATAATCTGATTTTTTCAGAGTCTTTTGCATCCTTTTACCCAGCATCATTTTAAAAACAATTTATGTTAAAACAAAGAGAGAAGCCCTTTGATCACTCAGCAGTAAAAGGAAGATAGGGCAGAGTCCTCGGTGCAAAAGCAATGAAGCACTGGGAGGAGCAAGGCCTTGACTGCCAGTATTGCTTGCAGCTCTTAGTTGTGTTATCCTGTGGCTCCCAGCTGATGCAGGGACCAAAAAGCAGCATGGGAGGAGAGGAGAAGCAGGATGAGCTGCCTTCTAAATTATGGTGTATATCTGACTTTCTATCAAATAAAAAAGACTAAAAATGGAGACTACTTGTGCACGACCACACATTTGCTGACGTCATTTTCAATTTTGAGAAGTCTGATCTAACCCCACATTATACAACTGTTGAATCTTCCATGCTGGCAAAGTCTAATTTTCACACGCCTACATGCTATGTACCTGATTTTTATTTTTATTTTTAAATATCAACAGCCTAAATATTTTTTTTTAAAAAGAGACGTCAATGGTCATAATGCTTATGAAATGTCCTAGCTTTACATCCATTGTTTCAAAGGAGTAAAAGCAAAAATACTCGAAGTCCATTCTAAAAAACAGGCAATGAAGATAATGTAACAGTAACAGATGAAATGAAAATTCAAGGGACAATTGCAGATCCTATCTCCACCTCGGGGATTATACATTCATCTGCAAAAAAATATTCAATGCATGTTTCATCTGCAACCCACCTTTCTTTTAAAGGTCACTTTAATAATCAAGATGTGCCAAAAAAAGGAAAAAGCCCTGAAATTCCAAGAAAAGCATGGCCATTTTATATCAGTCCCTGCTGGCAAGCACTAAAACAGTGCTTAGCCAAACTGTCGTCTGAATCAAGCAAATTACAATGTCATGTACACAGAAGTACTTTCCTGAATTAATTAATTAATTAATTAATTAAACACCCTCAAAACAGGTTATGGAGAAAGAAGACAAAGAAGCTGAAGGAAGTCCTGGGGGAAAGAGCCAGGTTTGGACTGGATTCTCCTCTCTCACCCTTTTTACATCCCTGTCTGTGATGAACTGAACTTCCTTCTCACTGAAGGCCAGGGTATGACCTTGCATTTCTCAACACACGCTTAGAGCTGCTGAATAATCAGTTCAAGAATAAAAGAACATTTCTGCCTCTTGGGTTGAGGGGGGTTTTTTTGGTACAACCTAACTTGGTGACTAATTCCTATCCTACTGCCAGAGAAAGCAGAAATCCTAGGAAAGGATTTTAATTTCTCATGCATCTTAATTTCTCAAATTTCTGCCCTGCCAGTCTCTTGGGCAGAAATTTGCTTCTGAGCAACACCTTCCAGTAACCTTATGATGCTTCTCAGATCCGTCTCCTTCCCCACTGCTGCAGATCAACAACAATCAAGCTGCACGCAGAGGGGCATGAGTCCTGCAAACCAGCAACACACCACTTTTAAAAACAAGTATCTGGTCCCCAGACTCAGGTGGGCATTTTTCAGAGATGCACATAATGATGGAACTACATGGGTCCAAAACTGAAGGCCAGAGAGAGGTGATGCTGCTAAGCAAGAGAAGCTGTTCTCACTGACTGGTGAGACACATGACTTCACGAGCTGAAACTCATTTCTGCATTGTTGACTTTGTGCTGTATGGGTCCAGGCAAGCACATGAAACCTCTATCAGAGGCTATCTGAAATCCACTGCATTTTTTTGGCTGAATTTGGCCTGATTGACATGGTCCCTAAAGGTACTGGTATCTGTGAGAAGTGATTCTCCTGACTGCAGCTCATCACAGGCACATTTTACAAACTGCAGGGGTTCCAGCTAATCTCTCTGCTCCACCACGGAATAAAGTCAATTCTGCTAAGAGTACTGATAGTCCGACAAGAAAATTACTTCTTTTCTGTTTCTATGGTTGCAACAGCCCTTAAGAAAGATATAAATTTCCCTGCAACAACTAACTGCATATTCATTTTAAGGTAGATCTAGTTCCAGATTCCTGAGACAGAACCCTCTACCTGTTCCCAACCCCACAAAGCCAGAGCAGCAATAGAGAAAGTTTCTAATCGCAACAGAATTCAGTGAGCAGCATGATTGGTTTGGTAAATAAACAAAGAAACAAAAAAAAAAAAAGAAACCCACCAAAAAAACCCCATAGCAAATTTTCAGCCTCTATGTACAAAACCAATGCAAACAAGTGGAACATTCTAGTTATATTTTGTAAAACACACGTTTGGGATCAACAAAACATCAAACATCCAGACCCTAGATTACAAAAAAGATCTATTGCCATCTAATTGTCAACCCCAAGTTTAGACAGTCCTTGTCGAAAATCATGTAATTCATCTATCTTCCCGTCTAGTACATCTAAAAAATTCTTTAATTCAGTTTTAAGGTTGGTCTGCCTATGTTTGTTCTCTTCAACTTCTGTCCTTAGCGTTCTGACTTTCTCTTCAAGATCTTTGTTCTTTTTCTCAGCAGCCTTAAAGACAAAAGAGACAATAAGATGAATCACAGAGAAGGATGAGCAGCATTTCATAAATTAAAGCAACAAATGGCAGCTGGGCTGTAAGAGTTTGCTCCAACTTCTGTAAACTGATTAACACAAGCACCTCTGAGAGCAACTGACATGAGTGTGTCAGATTAAAAACCCACGCAGGAAAGGACACAGATTAACTGGAAAAGATGCTTTGCATCAGACTTTGTCATTTGGTTGATATCTTCAAATTCAGCTGGATTTAAATAGTGAACTGTGCATACATTTGTGTCATTGCTACGGTTGCAGAATTAGACACTGTGCCATCAATTACATACAGAATTATCTACGGTGGTTTAACCTTGGAAAACAAACTTAGGAAATACTGTCTGAGGAATAAAGTTGCTTTATTCAGCACTTTGGGATTTATTGGTATTTTTTTAAAATTCTACTTTGCCTGATGGCTTATTTATTGATTGGATTTTACTTCATCGATAAGACTGCTCATTTTTGTTCTCTTTTCATGTATTAAATTACTGCATTTCCACAAGATCCGACTCGAGGAGGCGATGCCCAAAGTCCAGCTGCTGCCTGGGGCAAGGCCCCCAAGCACTGCTGGAAAGGGATGTCACAGCACAGGGACACATCCCCAGGTGAACTTTTACCCTGATGCTGAGCAGCTATGCTCATCTGCTTCTTTCCCAAAGCCTGCCCTGCTGCCACTGCAGCAATTACCCCCCCAGTTACCCCCAGGTCTTGGGGAGCTGCTCGACACACGTGGCAGTGGTGCAGCTCCATGAGCCCAAAGCAGCAGAAACATGGGACACAGGACAGCCTGGAATTGCAGGAGAGGGATGCTACATGATTCCAGGCAAACCAGTTTCTGCAGTGGAGCTATTTCATCACTCCTGTGCTGGGAATGGCACTGTGTATTTTGCATGTAATTAGCATTTTTTGTTTTTACAAACTGGACCTCTCTTGGCTTGAAACACTGAAGTCTGAATAGAGAAATGCATATAGCTACCAGAAAAAAAAAAGTCAAGGAAAGGTACCAACTATTTTGAAACTAATTTCACTGCTAACTGTACCTGTAATTGTTCAGATACAGATTCACATTCTGACATTAGCTCTGGTATAATTTCACCCTGCTTTCGGAGCTCTTCCAGTTCCTTTGAAAACATAAAAGAAAAAATATTAGTGCAAGCTTCAATTTAAAACATAATGAAAATTTGAAAAGATGAAATGGCTTTGCATATTTTATTGTATTCTGCACAGTATTTGGATTGAAAATAATCAAAATAACCTGCCTGCATTCCAAAATTTCTAATTTTCTACAAGAATACATTTTTTCACTGAATTTCTTACTTTGCATTTCTAAAACAGGCAATGTAATCCCATCTCTTGCATGAATTCCATGAATTATATTAATAAAATCTTGACCTAAACCATGTAACTACGCAAAAGATGTATTAAATACCAGAGAAATCTGAATGGCTGTAATGCTACAAGCAATTTATAGATGGTAGCAAAGAGCATATTAGACAATTTCAATGACATACAACAGCAAAAAAAGAAGGCCAGTGGCTTTACCAGCTGCACATACAGAGACATCATTACAGAACACTGGTGTCATGGGCTTTCCTCCATGGTACAGCTCTGAGAACCAACACCTTCCCCCTTCCCCAAAATCTGTATTTGGTTCTGGCCTCACTACCCAAACTGAGCAGACTTGATGAAGGCAGTTAATGGAAAGAGCAACAGTAGGAATCCATGTCTCTGTTGGAAACTAAGACAACTTGACTTGAAAAAAAGTGCAAGATCCTCCTCCAGAAACTTGCCATGTGATGATCTCCAGAGAATGCAAGGGTGTACCCCTGGACTATCTGGACTTGTGCAAAGCATTTGACACTGCTCCACACAGAAGCCTTGTCTCAAAATCAGAGAGACGTGGAATTGGTGGAGGAACCACTTGGTGGACAAGCACCTCCTCCATGAAGAGGGTATCAGCAGCTTCTCTTACATGCAATGCCATGAGAACACTTCATGTGGGTTTGGATTCCAGACCATGAAAGACTACTTACAGGTAGTTTAGAGCTAATTGAGAACATGCTGATGTAAGCACGAATTTTTAAAACAAGTTAGTATATTTTCAGTGTAAATGGAAGACAGGCTTGTAAGATTCACAAGTCGATCAATTTTCTGGTTCATTTGGTACAGTAAAAATGTGAATCTTGAGAAGAATTCTAGGAGACAATAAGGGCTGTTCTATATGCTATTCTCACAGAAAGGTTGGGAAGACAGCATTACAATTCCCTTTGAAATAAAGGGCTGGAAACCACTATATTTATAACAGTGTATCAAAATCCATCTCCCTAAACAATTTCCTTCCACCACCACACAACCTCTTAACAGCAGAGCTTATAAGAGCACCAGAGATTACAGAGATGCTGCAATGGCACATGGCAAAGTTTACTGCACTGCTTTTCCTCTTCAGCCAGCACACAGCATTTGGTCAGTGTGACAATGCAAAAAAAAGAGCTTCTCAGGATTTTCCCACTGTTCTGGGGTTCCAAGTCATCATCCTCCTTAGAAAAATTAACACCCTGTAATGTCAAAAATGACAAACTGGGGTACTCTAGAGGAATCTGAATTTCTCACTCCTGGCATTAGTCCTGAGATCAGAGTGAGCCCATTACCCAGCAAAGCTGCAAACTATGAGCCATGCAGAAAAGAAACAGGGCTTGTTACACAAATGCCAAATTATTTTCTAAATTATGTCTTTTTAATGACAATCCTGATGTCTACAGGAATTTTTGGCACGGGGAAAGTCAAATGAATCTGTTCTCAGCACACATCTGTCTGGCACTGGGCACCAAGTTTCACCACTGGCTCTTCTACAAGGACAAGTGTTGTGTACATAAAAGCATCCTTTTCTAACCCCTGCCAAATTACAGCGTGCAGCCACAGCACACAACACATCATGAAACTTGGATGGAGAAACACTACCAAACAAGGGACTGTACATGGAAAACCTAGAAACAGGAAACACCCCAAGACATCAGGCTGCTTCTGGTGGTAGGTGAGCCACTCCATAAATCTACACCCAAGGAGAGAAGCAGACAGTCCCACTCAAACAGGAAAATGCCATTTCTGTATTCAGGGCACTCACCAGCTCTTTGTCCTGAAGTTCTGTTTCCAGTTCCTGGAGACGTCTACTCAACTGTGCATTTCTTTCCTTTTCTTTATTTATTTCATTGCACTGTTCCTCCAGTTCTTCAATCTTTAAGGAATGTCAAACATTAGGTGAAATTTTTCAAACTTCTGAAAATCTGGGGCAGAACACAGCTGATGAAATGGACATGGGATCTGCTTCCTAAATCATAGCATTTGATTCACTGCAACCAAATTATCACTTCTTTCCTTCAAAAGAGTCAATTTACACATCCACTAGGAAACCCTGGGTCTGTATTTATTCTCTCTTACAGTCTCTCTTGCAAGTACTCAGGAATGCACAAAACACTGAGCTGCAAAAATAAGTGGAATTTGGGATAAAATCTGCACTTCAGTCCTCTGAAGCCAACACAAGGCTACAAGGAATGGATTTTCTTAACACACTAGGAGAAGAAATCTCTTGGGGGTTGCTTATTATTCCAGCTGGTGTATGAGGGGCACGACATCGAAACTTTGGGGGGAGAACCAGTTCAGAGCAACATCTGCTGCTTTGTTCTCTCGCCCAGGGATGTGCTTTGCTCTCTCCAAACCTCCTGCTGCCAGCTCTGGACTCAGCTCCCAGGAGATGCACTTCCCACAGGCCGATAGACCAGCTCATTAAAGAATGTACTTTAATTCTCAGCTTCATGTTGCTTTGGGATTATAACTTCCCTCATTTGAAGGTAGAGTGATATGCAAAAAATTCTGACCCAATTAATAAAGGAGAAGGAACTTCCCAGGGCACTGCAGTGGTGCAATGTGAGCACTGAGCGAGGAACCTGCTTGGGGAAAAACCTCAGAAAACCTCCCTGTACAGAGAAAGAGAGCACATTATACAGACAGCATTGCTGCACAGCCTGGCTGGTCACCAGCATGGGGACTTTGAAGAGGCAGTAAGAGCAGCGGTGTTTTAATAATCTCCTCTTTTCTAGTACAGCTGCTGGGATGTGGCATGTGTTGATGAGAACAGCTTTTCCCTGCAACAGTATAAAAAGGGAAATAACCGCCCGGCAAGTGACGATATTTTCCCATAACACATTGTTCCAGTCTCTCACTTCTCCCCTGTCCACAAGAGACTGGATATAGGAGCGCAAATCATGTAACAACTAATATTAATTTGTTAATGCAACATCAGTTAATACAGCTCTGGTTTGATCTCTGCATTACCACTGTGCACCCATAAAACATGAGTGAATAAACAGTGAGTACTGGCCTCAGAAAAAAGGGTGTTGTTCCACAACGACTTTCAGTGCCAACAAGCAACCCAAACCCCCTCCAACAGCTAAACACTACTTGCAGCCTATGACACACAAAAAGACATGAAATTCCTTCCCTCTTCAAAAGCAAACACTAAACAAAAAACATCCTCACCAGATTGATACAATCTGATCTCTACTTTAAATGCCCTAGTGATCCATCTAAGCAGCAGGAAAAGGATCCAGATTTCCAAAAGCACTTAGGATAAATAGGATGAAAATATCCCTGCAAAAGCAGTGCTCATGAAAACCAGGATCCCCTGTGCCCATAGGGGCTGCTGCAGATAGTAAAGCATTATCTCAGAGATGGTACTACTGACTATGCTAAACCTTCACTGATTTCTGAGTTGTTCTCTGCTGTAGCCATTGCTAACCCTCCATCTTATACAACCAAGAGATGTGCTCAGTAATGAAGGGGAAAAGGCTTTGATGACTCCTGTTGGCAAGTTTCTGCATGAGATGTGCCAGGTGTTATCGCTGGAGGTCCCAGCTCACAGCCCACAGTGCTGAGGAAATAACTCACATCCTCATTCCCCTGCACACTGCTGGGATTTGCTTCTAATCCTGAGTGGTTCCCAGGCTGGGTTCCTGTGGATAACCACACCACAATCTCTCCTTCTGCTCATCCATATCGGGCAGTATTTAAGTGAGCTTTGACAGGGATATGCAATAGCAGTCCCACTTTTAGAACCCTTCTGGTTCCTCACCCCAGCCAGCAAGCCCTGCTGACACCAAGTCTCCCAAATCCTGATGCAGGGAACTTCAGGTGATGCAGCAGCTCCTCTGCTCCCTCCCAGCCTGCTGTGTGCAGAGGGGAGCAGCTGCCTGAGCTCCCCATCCACCTGCTCCCTATCCACCTCCCTTTCAAGGCCAGCTCCATCTGCTAGCACACGCAGCGAGAAAGCTGCAGAGATCCCAGAGGAAGAGCCCTCCTGGGAGCAGCTGGCTGGAGGGGCAGCTCTCCTGTGGGTATGTTCTCTACCTTGCCCCTCAGCTGGTCGTTCTCCTCCTTGCAGGCTGAGAACTGCTTCTTCCAGTGCTCGATGCTGGCCGCCGACTCCTGCAGGGCTGTGGACAGCCGCGCGTTGCTCTCCCGCAGCGACTGCAGCTCCGTCTCCCACTTCTTCACGTTGGATGAACTGGGAAAAACAGGACACCATGAGGTGGTTTCGCCTTGTGTTCCCGTGAGTTGTTATTCTTTACCTGCCTGCAAACTCCCCCATTAATTTGCTGCAGTAAGAGGCAGAGCACTCAGATGTGTGTAATTGCCTTTAGCCATCACATTCCTATGGAGAACAAAAGCCTTAATTTGACTGTCTCTGTCAAAACAAAGGGATCTACCAAGCCCAGCAGCAGTGGCCTGTGTCTGGAACAAAAGCCCTGCTGTCAGAGCAGGCTGTAGGGTCCAGCTGCCCACTTGCACACAGGGGTCTCACCCTGGCACTGCATGGTCCCTGACACCTCCTGAGCTGTGTGGCTGCAGCACCTGGGGCCGGGCACCTGGCAGCCCCGCAGCACAGCCACTGCACATCTGCAGATGGCACAGCTACTCCAAATGGAAGATTTCAGGGGGTTGACATGATCTATATTTGAATTTATTTTAATGCTGAGTCTTAACTATAAAAGTGTTACATAATGCTGCAGAATTAAACTACTCATTCCCCAAAGCTCTGAGCTGAAGCACAGAGCACAAGATTAGAGGGTGAACGGGAGGAAGGCTTTGAAACTCCCTGTGTGCTACTTGCTGCCTGCCTGTGGAGGTGTCTCCAGCAAGAGCAATGAGCTCACACTACTGTTTGAAGCAGGTTAAGCTACTGAAATGTCAATAAAGAGAGAAGTTGTACTTCAAACATAATATATGCAACCTTGGAATTGCTCACTGGATAATGCTGCTCACAGTGATGCTTTGTTTTTTAAATACCTTTTTAAGAGTAGCTTGATCTTGTTAGATTTTCTTTCCATTCACAGATACACATTCACATGCCAGCGGCAGACAAGGCAAGATCCCAACAGAGAATTACTCTATTTTAATGTTGTAACTTTGCATATTGCAACGCCTGTATTTTCACTACAGCTGCAAATTACTCTTCTCAGCATTTTCAAATTATTTATCAAAGCAAATAGCAAAAAATATGATTTCAAGGGGCTCTGTCCACAATTTAGAAATATCCCCTAAGACTTCCAAGTGCTCTGATGAAATTATACTTCTCACTTCAACTTTTTATGGTTGAGTTCATTCCCTTTCATAATTTTAAATATCCATATCTATTTTCATCAAAGTAAGTGTAGCAAACTCAAAGCAAGATTGGCTTCACATGTTATCAGCAGCAATTGCTCCCCTATGGCTTTAATGTTATTTCTGTGGATCTAAAACTTCCTGAAAGAAGATGGTTATAATAGTTGGCATCAGCAGAATGAAAGAGGGCTTATTTCTTCACAAACTACATCAGGAATAAATGAAATGGGAAATATTTCTCAACTGGATACCAGGAGATACTTGCTAAAATCTTCATTCATCCATTCTGTGGCACCATTTAAAATTAATTACAATCTGAATAATTTCTGTTAATATCATTATCCATCAGATAATTACAGCACACTTTCCCAATGCAATTTAGGTTCTACAGGAACTTCACCTTTGGGCTAGAGCAAATTTTAATTTATCATTCTCAGATTTGAGATGTGCCTCAGCAGGGCCACCGTGTGATGCCTTCTCATCGTCTGTGCCATTCACGCTTGAAGCTCGAGTGGAAGATGGTGTTTCACGTCCAGACTCCTGCAGCACAACACACAAACGAACACTGGGTGTCTCCTGCATCTCCTGCAAGACCACAACACCAATTTCTTTGTAATCTTGATCCCACACCACTTGGCTGAGACCTCGGCTCTCCTGGCAGAACAGTGGTAACACACACATACCCTTTTCATCTTGGCTGCAAAGCTGGTCTGTTTAAAAAGAATGAAAAAATTACAATGATATACAAATGGAAGTTTAAAGTGTTCAAAACTTTAAAAAATTTTTTTCCCTGATAAGGCTTGTGTTTTTCAAAAGTTGTTTGGTTTTTTTAAGATAATGAAACAATGAAACACACAAAGTACAAACAAACAAACAAAAATAGTACTGCTCCTCCAAAGACATACTATTTACACACTGCTTGGTGCTGACCACCAACAGAGAACAAACAAAGTGAACTACAAAGACCATGACCAAAGTCTTTACAAAACAAGTATCCAAAGTCAGCCACTCAGATTGATATTTGTGGGTCCCACAAATGGGGGTGGTTGCAAGACTAAAACCATTCTGCAGCTTTTTCTGATCATTCATCTGAATTCCTCTCTGATCAAAATCTGTCTAACTTTCCTCCAGACATTAGCCCAGGCCAGGAGCACCTGCTGAGCAGGGCTCACTCTCACCTAAAGCAATGCACACAAAAATACAGCCAATCCTGCAGAGAGCCTGGGACACGACTCCATTTCTGCAGTTTGTAGGAAATGCAGCCCTCGCTGGGCACTGGGCACTGGTGGCACCAGGTGCGCTGCCAGGAGAGGCTACTGTGCAGATACACAACACAGGCTTCTTCCACACCCCCTAAAACCTCCCCTAAACTTCTTCCAATCCCCCTAAAACTCCCACACCACAGCTGCCCAGGGAACACTGGACACAAAGTCAGGCTAACCAATGCCAAATGCCACAAAAGTGGCCTGGACAGATGACAAGGAAGGATATTGATGAATCTCATTTACGTCTGCTGGAGCACTACACTGACTGACTTCCCAGTGACTCAAACTGTGTTTAACAGTACAAATCGAAGGATGTATAGCTTTCCCTGTTATTAAAAAAGTTGTAACAGCTCAAGGACTGCTGAAAAAATTAGATTTAAATGAAAGTAAGGAGCATGGACGGAAGAAAAATATTCCTCTGACAATGCTAATGTCCAGCAGCTGACAATTACCTTCAGCAATCTCCATTTTATATACTTTAAGCTGGCTGCCAGAAACTGGCACAGTCCATTTGAAAATTTAACTTTAAATTATTTATCCTGTATGTGTACAGGTATTAAAGCTAAATTACAAACCTGTGAATGATTGCTTGAGGTTTCAATTTTCTCTTGAGATCTGTCTCTTGCAAGTTTGGCAGCTTCTTTTACTTCTTGGAACTTCTCTGCAAACTAGAAAAAGCATGAAATATATTTATTAACATGATTTATCTTCCATTAAACCATTAAGACTGCTACCTTCTCATGGTATAGATGTCCAAAAGTGAACACCTAATTTTATTAATTTAGAATTTTTGGCAAGAAAAAACATTTTAATTCTTTGGCAGGATGGTTCTTCCAAAAGAAGTGGGGGTGTTTCTGAAAGAGGAATGTCTCTATAACTCTGGCCAACCACAGTAAAAGACCATGGAGGAAAAGGAACTGTTGGTGTCTCCCGGTTTGATTTGGTTCTGTTTATTTCCTCCCCCTTCTCTGCTTCCCTTGGTGTTGACAGTGTATTAAAGACAAAAGTATTAGAGACATATGTTTGGATAAAAATAGTATCAGTGTCTTCTATTCCTAAGAGCAAGTGAATTCAATTAAAGAATGCAAATAGGTTCATCTGCAGGAGGTAAGCAAGGGATTATCAAGACATAGGAAAAAGGAGAAGGTAGATCTCAATGTATGATGGAGTCGTACAAAACCACAGCTTTTCTGCTCTGATTTTCTTATTACTTCCAAAAATAAAGGTATAAGACTTCAGATAAAGGCTTGAATGCTTCCTGTAAGAGGGATATATCAGACTGGGAGAGGTGAGGGAAAGGAAAACAAAGAGGGAAGGTAACAATCCCAACCTCTGTGAGTTGCTGTAGGACATCTGCTCCAAAGCCAGCCTGGCATTTTTGGAATACAAGTATTATCACAGCCAGTCAGGGTTGCAGGGCTTCAAACACTTTAAAAAGTGTTTAAAATTTTAAAAGGAGAATTACGAAGATGAAAAAGGTATAATACATAATTTGTTTTCAAAATTATGATGTATCTGTAAGAATTGGTAACTTTATCTTTCAGCAAAAACTGCTTGGTCTTGCTTGCCTGTGTTTTAAGAAATTTGAAATGCTAGAAAGGCAAGACATTTTAAAAGTAAAAAATATAAACAAATGTATTTATTGCAGGTTGTGACAAAAGGATTGCCATTATACTCTCGGATAATACAGAACACTTATTTACAAAAAAACTGTAAATAAAAGCTTGAAAAAAAACATCCAAATTTACAGTTGAAGAATAGAAAGATACATTATTCACTTAGCAATCTTGCCTTCTAACCTTGGATTTACAGCAGGTATTTAGCACGCTCTCTCAGTAAAATTTGGACTGTAGAGACTGATTAAACAAATCTTCTCCATTTGGTCTAAAAGAAATCTGGATTTACACGTGTAACACACACAAATGGCAATTTCCAACACACACACACATCACGGTTAACCCCCAGGGATGAGCACGTTCTGGAAGGTGAGTGATGCCCTGGGTGCACCCTGTGCTGCGTGGCAGTGCTGGTGGAGGAGGATGCAGCTCTGGGATCCAGCTGCTCCTGCACCACAGCTGCCATTGCACATGCAAGGCGTGTGCCCTGGGACGGCAGCAGCTCCAGCTGATGGCTTTGCAGTCACTACACGCACAAATGACTTGATTACCTCTCCAGCACTCCACAGATCGTTAGGAACAACCACATTACATTCGTGCCTTTAGTGATTGAACTCTAACTTTACACAAAGCATCTTTCCTGCTGTGACAGAGCAGCTATAACCAGCTGATTATTTCTAAAATATTATATCAACAGTAAGTTCCACATTTGTGTTTCTTGTGGATAGTGCAAGGCTGTTTTGAGTCTGTCTTTTATAATAAATCTTTCTCTTTTACGACAAATCTCTTCATCTTATGTATGAAAAATTTATGAGGGTTCTTCATGGATGATACGAAATATGAACAGACAAAAAGAATTGGGAGTGATCTATCAAATTTTATTTTGCAGCTATCTTCGTAAAGCACACAGGAGACTGCTGTGAAAAATTATGTGAGCTGGGAAGAAAAGGACGTTTTTCCACATTTCCATAATAAAAAATTGCATATGATTGAGCAAAGCTTATCTTCAATACTGACCCAATAATGACCTCATTGCATAAACGATGTCAGCCATGTCTCTAGTTCACCAACACATGTATTGAACACATTTGCATTTAGAAAGTGATTGCTGCTCTGAGAGGGGCAGTGCCAGCCCCAGCTCTGCAGCACTGCAACACCCACTGCACAGGAGCAGAGCAGGAGGTTCTGGAGCCACCCCGAGCTCGAGGCTGCCAGACAGTGTGGCACAGCCACAGGGCCAAATCACCAGGAGAAATCAGATTTCCCTCTAGTAACCAACTGCTTCTGCCCCAAACACAAATAAGTGGTAATTGGTATCACAAAATCATGCTCCACCTCCAAGGTCTAAGTTGACTTTGAGCCATCAAACCATTACAAAAAAAGGGAGCAGTTAATGAATGTCAAATTCCTAATAAAAAGTGTGTTCAGTAAATGAAAACTTGTTAAGTGTGGTCTCAAGGGGCAATGAAAATCTAAATACCCAAAACCAACTACAAGAATTCATCATGCTTCTCCTTAGGTCCATGCTTCCCCTCTGGCAAAGATCCCAAAATCAGCAAAAAAACCCCACAAAAACTGGAACAGGAGAGTTGCCAACTGAATACCACCCCAGCAGTCCATCATGGATTATAGGACGTGCCTTCCCATGCCCCAGGAAGCTGTGGGACTAAGCTGCAACACAGAGAAGATTTGCTGCTACCAACACTTGTGAAGCCTTTTGGTCAGGCAGCTGCAGCCATGAGCACTGCTTGATTAGGAGTCTTGGCCAGTGAAATTTAATGGGGACTCGAGGATGCTGCTGTGCATTGCACAAATTATTTAAAGGCTATTCAAATCCACAGTCAGTTTATCACCAGGAGAAATATATATATAAATATATATATTCAAATAGACCTCCTTAGCATTTTATACATTAAAAAGCATGACTTTTTTTTATGCATAAATTTTAAGCTCCTGGTCTGGCATTATATTTTATGTCTCCTACTGACAAATTGTGCCAGTATCGGATGAAACAGCTGCTCCCACCCAAAGCAGGCTCATAAATATTTCATCTCCCTCTGGGTTTGCAGCAGGCTGGGTGATGTGACAGCCCTGGGGAGCACTGCTGTGCCCTGACCCACAACACACACGAGCTTCTCCCGTGGCTCTCCTGGGACGAGCCCTCAGCACGGGGCAGAGGGGCTCCCAACAAGACTATTTACCCCAGAAAGTGCTCAGAAATTTGCTCTGTCCCAGCCAGGGCGTGTCCAGCTCTGATGCCAGCTGCACCAGTGGGGCTGTGCTGTGTGCTGGGGCAGGGCAGGCTCTGCCACGAGCTCGCTGCCCTGCAATGCAGTGATTGGCACACATAATGTGCAGGAGTGCAGAGAAATAAAGTCCAGGGCTTCCCAGGGGCCAGAGGCAGCTGCTTTATGATGTGCAAAGTCTGGCTTTACTGGGTTTCTCACCCGTATAAATCTTTGTCCCTATGCCCTTGACTACCTGCTCCTCATATATAGCACGGCTGCCTCAAAGCACCCTGAACGACAGCAGAAACCTTCCTTAACCACTTGGTGTGCAAAATTCAGCACCACCTGTGCAGCACCAGCCCTGCCTTCCCACCCCCACACACACTGTCCTTTCTGTGATTCCTGCCTCAGTTTGGCTGAAGCAACATTTGAACGATGCCTCGAGACCCTTCTGAGGCACAGGGGAGGGAAAGGAGGGTCAGCGAGTCCTGCACGAGGGGAAAAGGACCCTGAGAAGGACATCAGTTTTAAGCCCTGGGATTCTCCCAATCAATGGGAATGGTAATTAGGTTACTGGGTCACAGAACGCAGTTTTCATTAACAGCTCATGTTTAATTTGAACTGCTTTTCCCTACAGGTATGGATTAATGCTTTAAGTATCTCAAGAGAAGCAAAGCATTAGAATGAGGCAATATCTTTTATTAGGCCAAGCAATACACTTAAAAATGCAGGCATTTTTAGGCATGCTAACCTCTTCTCCTGCCTCATTATTTTCTGCTGCTTTCAACGGACATTTTTCAGCTTTATTTATTTATATTTATTTTAAGCCAGGGCTATTGATCTCTGGTTTAGGGGGTTTTAGTGTGCCCTTCCAATTCCTGACTAAGCACTTCAATTATTTCCTGTAAAATAGCAAGCTTTCATTTATATTTTTTGTAAGAGCATAATGATATTAATATAAAATGAAACTTGATTTTACTATTCCCAGTACACCTATATAGCTGTAATCTCACTCTCAACTCTGATCTTTCTTACTAATGGCTCAATAATTAAACTGAGAAGCACAGACAATAAAGAAGTATCTTTGTCCCATTGCTTTGCATGGTGATAATAAACCAGGTTTTCTTACATTTTTCAGCCAGGTAATGTCAGAGTTTTGGGGGTTTTTTTTTTTCTTTTTTAATAAATCAACTCAAGCTATTTTTCGAAGCAGCCCCCTTAAGCTCCCTCTCAATATTCTGACCAGAATAAGTCTTTCTGCTGATTTGGAAAGCCTTTCATGCAAGTAGAAGGTTGTATTTTGGGCAGTGGGCTCTTCAGCAGATCATGCAGTGCAAACAAATGTACAAAGTGACCTGGGAAGAAGCACAGCTGGGGCTGGTACATCACGTTATTCACACTCCAGACTGGCCATGTGAACATGACAAGCTGATACCAGCAATGCATTCCTTCTGAGTGGGTTTGATAAAGTCTGCAGAACATGGTAAAATTTCTCTGATTAGGGTCAAGGTCCTCCAAACGTACCTCCTGCCTTACTACAGTGAACTCAGTGCCTTATTTTATTATTTACCTCTCTTCTCCTGAGCCAGACCCAGCACCACCTGCTCCATGTGGCACAAGGTGCATGTTTAGCCCCAGTCTGCCACTGAGGCACCGTGGGGTCTTGTGCCATGTTACAGAGGTATAACTTCAGTAATCCAGGATTAAAAACTACTATCCAGAGGTGCTAATTCTCCCATTCAGTGTTCAAAGGCTGCATTATATCATGGTTATCTGTTACTCAAAAAAATGATTCCCCTAGGTCCTTTTTAATCCTTCTCTATTCCCACACATCTTATTAGCTACTATGAACAATTCTTTGCCCCAGGAGTGAAGAAAATGCATAGGTGAAATGAGCAGTCCTGTACACCTAAGTAAGCACCATAAAACATAACCATCTCCAACAACTCATTTTTAAACAAGCTTTGCACATCATGCCTTTATCATCCCTGAAGAAAAGATTAATGCCATGGCACTTTCACGGGCATCCCAAGTCCTAAAATAATTTAACATATGAAAAGTAAAATAACTTTTATTTTTAAGAAACACTTGCAAAAATGCAATTCTCTAGAAATTGCAAGAACATATTAAGACAGACTTACTAAAATAAATTCCTATAACAACTCGCTTGACAGGGAATTCCTTCTAGTGCAGTGCTCTGCCTTTGCTGCTTTAGACACCACAAGAAACACCTTCTCCTGATCCTTTTCTTATTAAAGCACAGGAGAGGACAGCAACCTGAGAGGCTGTGGCATGCCCAAGGACACCCTGCTGAGGTCACTTATGGAGCCCAGTGCCAAGCAGCCAATGCCTCAGGAGTCAAGTATGTGTGAGATAAGTAGGGCTTTTTACCACATGAACAAACAATCATCTCAGCTGCCTGATAAGCACTTGTCAAGACCACTACTTCAATGACAGAGCAGTATTTTCAGGTGCTGGTTATTCAGAACAAGAGGCTGCTCTAGCCTTTACAAGCCTGCTAATGTACTCAGTCCCTAGTCCAGGGAAGTGTTTCATTCATATCAAACTCAGGATGAGGGGTTTGCTGCTAATGCAGAGGCAGCTTTGTCAGCAAGCCTGACATCAGCTCTCCCTGGCTAGTCATCCCCTGCCAGCAGCAGCAGTGAGGGCAGTGTGTGCCACCCACAGGCAGTGGTAGTTCCAGAGATGGCAATTCTGGTAATTCCAGAGATGGTAACTCTGGTAATTCCAGAGATGGCAGTTCTGGTAATTCCAGAGATGAGCAACCTGTACTGCTGAGGAGGACCTGCAGTAACACACGGGTTGGAGATGTGCCACGCTGCATTACCAAGGAGCAGGACAGCCTTGGCAGCCATGCAGTGAGCCCTGTTACCTTTGTCAGCTGCTGCTCAGAGGGGAAGCCCAGCCCGAACACGGTGTTGGCTCTGCTGTCTGCCCACTGCCCAAACTTCTGCGACGTTTTGGTGAAGGTCATGTTTGGGGTGATGGTGCTGTTTATGATCACCTGGTCACAGACAGAGCAAAAAAACCAAAAAAGAATTAAAACGTGCAAGTCACATCGGAAATGCATATCCTAGCAACGGTATCATCCAAAGCAATTAGCAGTCTAAATTGGGAAATTGCTGTGTTTAGAAGATTTTTTTTCCCCAAAATAAAACAGTTGTTTTCTTGTCTTCATTCTTGCAGGAGTTCTGATGCTTTGTCTTGTTTTTCAAAGTACCATCACAGCTCTGCAGTTAAACGTGGCTGCAGGAACGTCACTGAACTCAAAGCAGGGTCAGGAGGAACAAAACTGCCCTGGCAGAAATGCAGATGCAAAATCCTTCTTTTTGCATTAGTAAACCATACAGCCACTGCCCCAGGAGGTGCCTGCTTGAGCCCTCCAAGCAGGGCAGCCCCCAGTAACACCTGGACTCAGACCTGAAGGGCAGAGAGATATTTCTGCATTTTTGCATTTGTCTCAGGCCTCCACAAGTAGCATGCCAGAGACATATCAGAAGTTTCAAACAAAGCCAGACAACAAAAAGCAAGACAAGGAGAAGCTGATAGCTTAACAGGTAGTTTAACTTGGGAGGGTGGTGAAGTGCATCACCAGCAATGCATATGCAGTATCAAATTTGGGCCTTGGAACAAATATTTTGCCTCTTTACACATGTTAACTAATATCTGCCTCATCACCAGCAACTCTAAAAGCAACAGTGGTCCTTGTAACTAAAGAAATAGCCAACAAGAGGAAGGCTGGTGGATGAAATCTTTGAGGAACTTAGTGGAGCAAATATAAAATGTAATCTTGCTAAGAGGAATGAGGTATATGTCAGTTCATTATCAAAATCTTATTTTCAAGATACATCATTATATTAGTCTAGCGACTTCTTCCCCTGGAAATTAATTCATGTACAATGTTCTTTCTGCTAGCAGAACAAGTGCTTTCTTTAGTAATGCGTACCATCATTTCCAAAATGCAAATTATGCACTAATTAAGCCCAATCTGTGGGACAGTTTAATTAACATGATCAGGAAGTATCCTGGCAACATCATTTACTATGTATTCCAAGCAGTTTTCTCCTAAGCTATCATTTACATTTAGCAAAAAGTGTGAATCAAATTTAGCAGAGGAAGAACCTCACTTGCTTCCATCCCGTCCCTGACTTCGGACCACTGTGCTGACACTTTCATTTGCTTTCTTAAAAATTACTCAACTGATTTCCCTCCTTTTGCATCATCACTTTCAAACAAACCTACGATTTTCTACCATTCCCCACCACTGGAAGTTTCACCAGAATCAAGACAGAGGAGAGCCAGGTGAGCGGTACTCCTGAAACTGTCCTTTGCATGGGAACAAACAGAGCAAGAAAGGGGGAGAGGTGACCCTGCCACCAGCACAGGTCAGCATCAACAACACAGAAGCTGTGGCTGCTCCATCCCTGGAGTGTCCAAGGCCAGGTTGGATGGGGCTCTGAGCAGCCTGGTCTGGTGCAAGGTGTCTCTGCCCATGGCAGGGAGCTGGAACACAATGATCTTTAATTGATCTTCCAGCCCAAACCACTCTGTCATCAGCCTTCAGGGTCACACACCTCCTTGAGTGGCCAGTGCACAGACAGAGGTAGGAGCAAAGCTGCCCAGATGTGTTCTCCTCCAGCTACGTTGTACCATAGGAACAGCCGACATAAAATCTAAATGTTATTTCAGCAATGTAAATTAAAAGAAAATCAGAGGTTTTATGCAAGGGTTTGACAATGCAAAGGGACTGTGATAATACAAGGATTGTATGGTACAGAGAGCCAAAAGAACAGGAGGAAAAGCTACCACCAACCCCAAAATTCAGGGTGCTTTCCAGAAACTTTAAAGAAAGTGCTATATGTATATTTCTGCTTTTAAAATATCCTACATCAGACAGATGAACCACTTGCAAATGTCTAGCTTCTCAAATTACAGAATTTATTTTAAAAACTAAAAACTTCCCAGAAATTTCAAGTCATAGAAAGTATTATTTCAGTCCTGCTGTGCCTATCAACTTTGAGATCTGGGGGGAAAAAAAAAAATAAAGTGACCAGTTTGACTGAAAGGCAAAAGCTTCACTCACTGATAGCTGACCCTGAGTAGAATAAAATTCCTCCATACCTCCTACAATAATCACTGAGAAGATACAAACATATTAAAAAACCACACTAAAGTTATCTTTTACAAGACAGTTCAATATTATGAGACGTGATAAAAGCAATAATGAAGGCTGCAAACTTTAAACCAAGAACACCTTATTGAGCAATTATGAAATGCACTACATTAGCTGAGCACCTTAGGAGTTAGTTTTTTTCCATGGCCAGTGGAGAATCCAAGGAAAGGCTGAGGTGAGCACACACCTCTGAGAAACTGACAGTTCAACTGTTAAATTTACAATTAGCTGCTGTTAGTGAAACTGCCTGGAAGCTGTCTCTACCTTTCCCCTTAAATCCTCCTCTGCCAGTCAGGCACTCCAGAAATGCTGCATTCCTACAGAGAAGTGAAAACCTAAGTAGAAGCTTAGGAGATTAAATCAGAGCTCATGTTTCTGTGAGTTCAGAGGAGACGGATGCTGTGGGTACATCACGCTTATTCACCTGCTCCTCCTGCCCATCCTCACCCCATCTGCACATTCACTCCCCAGATCTGGCCATCATTTCAGAGCAGCGACACCCCACTGGCAAGGGAACAATCGCGTTGGCTGTGTTTAGGAGAAAGAAAGGCTGCTGTGATTTCAAAGAACAATGAACACTGAGGCTGGCAGGTGCTCCTGCCAGGTAACCCAGCCTGTCCCCACTCCCGTGGCAGGGTCACCCCTGGCTACGTGGGACCAGCAGGAGAGTGCTCCCCACCACTCCTCCATCCCCTGGGCACATGCTCTCAGCTGGGGCAGGAGGCAGGGGGAAGTATTTGTGACCACCACAATGGGAAAGGTCAAATAAACTGGGAAATTTTTCTTTTTCTTCTTTTTTTTTTTTTTTGTGAAAGTATGAGCCAGAATTTTCAAAATTCAAAAGAAGGAGAGAAGTAAAAGGGCACTATTCTGCTGCAGGCAGGATGAGCCATCAGGCTCTTTTCCATCCCTACCTGAAATCCAGCATGATAATTCTATAAGAAAAGGCCACTCATCAATTCAAATGAGCCCTTATGGAATACTTTGCATTTGGTCTTCATTTGTATAATACACACACAATGAAATTCCAGCTGCACCATAAAATGGAATAAACTTGTGGACTTTCATCCAGGATAATGGATTCAGAAGACAAACTACTCTCTAATCAAATGCAATCAATCCCTGAAGTGGTTAAAGAGTTCTCCCTAAAGACAAAGGCAAAGAGAAGTATAATATAATAAGCACCTTCCAGAATAATAAACCCATTCATCATACTCACTTGTCTACATGTGGTTAAAATAAAATCTGCCTTTGCGCTCACCTACACGCATATGCATCAGATGGCAAACATTCCTGATACACCTGCATGAGCCAAGCAAAATCTCATACTAATTTCACTTCCTTTGGGAGAAAATCAAACCTGAGAGCTAAATTTTTATCTGAAGGTGACACAGAAGTATGTTCACAGCACAAGGTAGTGCTACCTCACCCTAAATGACTCCAGACATTTAGGAACGCACTGGGTGCATTCATCAGATAAAAGTGAATGCAAATAGGCTGGTGTAGAGCAGAACATTCATGGGCTGAAACACACCCATCCTGCTGCCTTCCCACCGAGAGAAACTGCCAAATAAATCAAGAAGGAAGAGGTCACAAGACGCCCTGAGTGCGTAGAAGGAGAAAAACGTGCTGGCAGCTCCTGCTGCTCACAATGTACGAGCAGAGCCCACAAATGCAGCTGCTGCTTCTTTTAGGGGAACACTTCCAGTATCTGAAGGGCTCCACTCCTGCACACCCTGTAGCACAGCAGTGCACGGAGGGGAAAAGCCCGTGTGGCTCCTGGAAACGCGCTTCCCAGGCTGCTGCCCGGTGACACAAGGTGAGCAGGCAGCTGGGGCACACGGGGCTGGCTCCAGTGCACACCCTGATCCCATCAGCCTTGCCAGGCTCACAGGAGGGAAAAGCTGAGAGAGAGCAGCTCCAAGAGAGGAGAGCAGTGAGTGCAGAGGGCATCTGGCACAGCCACTGGCACAGCCCCCAGGAGGAGGAGGAGGAGGAGGATGGACACAGCAGGAATCTGCCAGGACACGCACCCAAGGGGTGATGAGCCATGTCAGCCAGCCCTGATGGCTTTCCAGCTTTTCTACCTTTTCTACCTTTCACCAGCCTTTCTACCTAGGAAAAGACTTGAAATAACAGCTATGAAATAGCTAATAAATGTATTGGCCAATGTATTTTCAAACTGTGTTAAATTAAATCAGAAAAGGACACCTTATTCTGGGACAAGAGTGCCAGATTAGGAATTATTCTGGAATTTCCCCTTTAAATTCACATCACCTGTTACTCTGAAATAATCACACCTCCAGAAAAGCCCCAAGGCTCCAAGCCATAAGATCTGCTCCTTAAGACTATACTAAAATCTCCCCATTTCATTTTCACACCTCTGAATATGTGCTTCCAGTTTGCAGCCCTTGTGAAATTTAATTTCCTCAACCCACCAGGCTGCTAATCTTCAGTAAAGATGTATCCCAGTCTAAAAACAGAATTGCAGAAGGAAAGAAGCTGCTAATCCTCTGGCCATAGCTATCACAGGCTCAGCAGGTTCTTCCAGCTCATCAAGTCGACATGAATCAGAAGGGCTTGTGACACAGGATGTGAAGATGAGGAGTCAGAGGTGGATTTACAGACAAATTTTATTCCAAATATTCAGCAACATTTCTGTGGAATTAGCCCACCTACATTTCCATGATCTGTATTATCCTTTACACCATCTACCACATTTCCTACCTGTGCCTCTAGACAGAATGTAACATTTTTTCACCAGGATGTTACTGGTGATAAACCACTCGTCTCATTTCTAGTCCTAGAAAGCCTGTGTGTACACACACACA